ATCTATCTATCTATCTATCTATCTATCTATCTATCTATCTATCTATCTATCTATCTATCTATCTATCTATCTTTCTATCTTCTATCTATCTATCTTCTGTCTTCTGTCTTCTATCATCTCCGTCCATCCCGTAGCCAAAATACTCCTCCTCAGCTGGGAACTGGAGGTGAATTGAGTGTCGCTGCACTTGACGTGGAATACAACAGACGAGTTCCTGCCTGCACTGATCAAAGATGGTTCCTTGCAGTGGGGCAAAATTATCTCAGGAGTGGGCACTAGTTGGACTGACCTCCATATAATTTACTCAGAAATCAGGTTTTCTTTTCACTGAACTGGAAACCAACATTAAAAAGGGCAGCCCTTCAGCTACCTCACCAACTCGTCAACTAGTGGATCGATGTTTAGGGTCAGGGTCAGGGTCAGGGTCAGGGTCAGGGTCAGGGTCAGGGTCAGGGTCAGGGTCAGTTTCTGGCACTGTATCTTTCATTCTGAACAAGTTGGGGGGCAAATCACACCTGAGGTTAGGTTTTGGACTCTCTAGAAAGCTGCTTGGACTCCAGATCAGCACGATTCTCAAGTGCACGTATTGGGCTCCACCACAACCCCCTCGCTTCTTCCCACCTTTTGCTCCCAAGCAAGCCTTGCCGGACGACCAAGAAGCAGATCTGCTCTTCTGTCTGAGAAGCTTTAACGGTGGACCCTCGCTGGCCACTAGAGGCCGCTCCACCTCCTGCCGCCCGATCGCCAACCGTCTGCCTTGGGCACTGCGGGCGTCTCCTGACCCACGGACTGATTATGTGCCAACAAGTCGTTTTCGACTCCTAGCGACTAGATGGGTGATGGATAGATAGACTTTCTCCATTTGTTCCTTCCAAGTGGAGTAACTCCTGGGGGAGGGGGGAAACAAGAACCAGTTCCTCCCCATAGCTGCAGTGGGGCAGAAATGGGTGAGTGAAGGCGGCTGCAGGGAAGAAGGGGTTAAACCTTGCCAAGTTGCAGGACCGATAGGCTGTGGGCCTGCAAGCATCTTCCCTGCCCCTGCATCCCCGGCCGCTTCTTTGCATGTGCAACCTGGCGGCCAGGCTGCTTTTGGACATGGGTTTGGCCCCCTTTCAAAGAAGCACTAGACCCCCGTTCAGACATAGCCCACCGGATGGATTGCAGGCACGGAGGAGCGCTGCAAGAGGACCAGGGTTCCTCCTCCTGCTCTACTCCTGTTGGGCTAACAGGCACGGGGGTGGGTGGGGGTGGAGCGATCAGTGAGTGAGCCCCCTCCTCAGAGCTCAGGGGACGGGCAACGCTAGCACTGAGTGGCTACGGCCGGCTGTACACCAGGTAGTTGTGGAATAGGCCAAATGGCACAGCCCGAGTAACCATAAAAATCCGGGAGACGCAACATTCTTTATCTGCAGAAGCCGTGGGGGCCCTAGTGTGCGTCCCGTGCTAACAGAACCTGTAACACGCCGCTAGCAGAACCCAGATCACATTCCGGGTTTAAATCCATCTCTCCAGAGAGTATTACTCCTGCTGTTTTGTTTTTCGTTTTTTAAAAAAAGGTCTAGTGCTGGTTCAAAAGACCACAAAATCTAGAAAGAGAGAGGGAGACCCTGTAACGCTCCTCTGCTGTTTTCCGAGGCACGTCTCCCACACGGTAGGAGCAGATGCTTCTGCTGAAGCCAGATGCAGCCCTTCTGCAGCTTAGGCCAAAGAGGCCACAGAGGACAGTGCCCAGTGACCAGATCGGAGGGCTGTCCCTGCGGAGCCTGAAAGGGCCAAGAGGAGCGGTGCAGATCCCGGCCCTTGACCACATCGGCCACCAGCGGTCAGCGAAGCATGCTAGATCATGCCCACGGCAAAAACATGTTCGGATGAGAGAGGTGGCCTGAGTCTAAAACTGGAAAACCTAAAGACCGTGTTCAGCTGCTTCCGCGTAGGCGGGGGAGGACATGGAGTAAATGTCCCAAGCGTGTGCTCTTTGCGTGGTGAGGATGAGTCCATGATGGAATCAGCCAAGGTAGGCAACTATCACCCGTAGGAGGCTTTGTAGAAATAGGAGTTGATGTAAGCAAAGCGGGGGCGGGGGGGAGGTCAGACTACCTCCCCATCTAGGACCCTCCCTCCGCCCAGTCACCCCTGCTTTACAACTGGATCTTTGAAGGACCAGTTGTAATAATAGCTGTTCCTTCTTCTCCTCTTCCCCCTTCTCCAACTGTTCCCCAAGTTAGGACAGTGGCAGGCCCAAGAGGGAACCTCAGTGTTTCCTTAATTTATCACTGGGAAGAGCCTTCTCCCACATCCCCTGGCCATCAGAGCAAGGCAGTCGGTGGCCTTCACCCAGTATCGTCAAGGGCCTGGATCGAAATAAGGTCTTCCCACAATGCGGCTCTACAGGACTTGGAAATGTTGCGGGGTGTCAACCCTTCAAGGTGACCCAGACTCAGACACCAATTCATGAGTACTAAAACTACTTTTATCACAAGGCTGCTGTAACAGAATCTTGCAAATCTGAATATGCTTCCCCCCATCCCCGCTTTTACCTATAAGAGAACTGGAGACGCTTTCTCAAATTACACTTTTGGGCCAGACTCCAGTTTCTCTTATCCGACCCTTGTCTTGGTTGCGGCTCTTCCTCTTGTTCCTCAAGGTTATTCTCACAGCCCATTACAGGAGGTGGGAAGGAGTTGGACTAGGACAGGACAGACACAAGCCTTGATCCACCCAGAGCTGTGGAAACTCACCGGAAGTCATTGGGGCAGTCTCTATTTCTCTCTCTCCGCCCCACCTACTTTACAGGATAGTCGTAGTGAAGATAAAATAAGGGGATACACTGCCTTGAGTATTCAGGGAAAAGACAGAAGGAAATAAAATAAATGCTACAAACAAAACAGTTGAGAGTGGTTCTCCACAGAGAATCTGTCTCATGGGAGAAAATACATCCTACCTAACACATCTACAGTCTCACAAATGTCTTGTACCCCTCGGTGCATGATTTAAGCATTTATTTCACAAGAAGCCACCTCTCTATGGTACACTGGGGAGAAAAAATCTGCCATCACATACCTTCACATTGCCCAGGACCACCAGGGGTCCATTCACCCCACACACAGTTCGGTACGCTGTGGACAAAGGGAAAACAAGAGGGAATTAGGGGGCTGGCAGAGACAAACTTGTGATGGGAAGAGACAAGCCATCAGTTCTTCTGGGCTGGAAAAAGAAGCCTGCATATTTAGCTATGTACCAGGCTTCCTATATGCAGTAATTAAGGTTAAAACCATGCAGTGTAATTCATAATAATTTAAAAACAGAAATAAGCCAACTTCATCCATCTTTTGCATCTCTAGCCTCCGTAGGTTCGACTCTTCCTTGCGTTCCCCCAAAGCCCTAAAGAGCTGAATCTTCACTGCTCTTTGCAAAGTTAATGTTCTGATATTCAGGGGGGTGGGGCACCACCAAGAAAGCTTGACCTCGGTGTCCCTGATGAGTCCACCCCTTTGGTCGGCGGAGAGGCCCTTAGCGTCCGTTCCTCCTTGATCTCACCAGACAGGCAGATTCTGCCTGGAGCAGGGAGTCTTGGAGATGCTCAGACCTTAAGCCATATACGGCTTTAAAGGTAAGAACCAGCACCTGGAATTACCCCTCTAGGAGAGGGGTTACATGGACAAACCATAATTCTCTGTTCTGCTGCATTTGGGCCAGCTGCATTACACGAATGCTCCTCATGGGAAGTCTTGCATCAACTGAGTCACAAAGCCTCCCAGTCCAGGAAAGTTGCAACGGGCACATGAGATGCCAATAGGGAAAAGCCTTCCTGGCTACGGCCTCCACCTACTGTTCTTGCAGAAGTGGTGACTCCAAGAGGACCCCCAAGATTATGGACCAGCTCTGCCCAGGGAGAGCATCATCCCGTCCAGAGCTAAAGATGGACTTTCTTCAGAATCAGTTAACTATGGACTCCACAGCTACTCTATCTTGTTGGGTTTAAATCTGAGCCTGTTTTTCCCCATCTAGACCCAAACAACCTCCAGGCACTGAGACAGGACCTCCAGTACATCTCCTGCCTGACCCAGAGTGGAGATGTGTAACCGGGTATCGTCCACATATTGATGGTATCTCACCCTATGCAGGAGGATGTCCTCATGGAGAGGTTCAACAAGATCAGGGAGAAGGTCAAGTTCTGAGGAACCCCACAATGGAGTGCACAAAAGCTCAACTTTCCTCCCTCCACCAGCTGGAACTGTGAAGATGTTCTAGCTCTGAGCCTAAAATCCCCCACTGGCCTTCAGCTCTAGGCCTCTGGATTTGGACGGCCTCCCTATTGCCCTCCCTCTACCTTGAGCCCTCTTCTTAGATAGCAGCTCCCCTTGTTCCTCATCATTGGTCTTCTAGATGGGGTTGGTGGTACTTGCAGTCTAACAATATATGGATAGCCCTAGGTTGGTCACCCATCTAGAATTGGGAGAGAAGCTGGATAAGCAAAGTCTTCTCCACAGTGGCCAAAAGAGTCCACAAGTACAAGATTCCCCCAGCAGCTGGGTTTCAGAAGCTGGCTGATCATGACCAGCCATCAGGACTAGTGATCATGGTCTGTTCCAAAGGTGCCTCCCCTGGGCTGGTAGCTGACGATGATGGCAACTGAAGTCCCAAATTTTGCTGAGCAATTCTCTTTCAAAGCCACCTAATCACCTGGCAGGTAAACTTCAGTGGATTTAACTCTGCTGTTTGCAGGTGGTCTTCCCTGTTGCTGCCCCGCCGCGAGATAGTTATCTTCTCAGAGTGTCACTTTCATGGCATCTCAAGGTTCTGCCCTGTGGCCTTGCCAAAGACCTCCCGGTGGCGGCTGAAGGTTTTAGAGATTGAGCATCCATTATACAAAGTTAATATTTCAAGCTTCGCTTTGCCAAGACATCTCACTTGGGGATCTGACAAGCTCAGTGACCTTCTCAGATCATGGAGGCTTATTTCCAGAACATTACCTGAGAGGAAGAAAACTCCTCTGTTTGCATTTATTGGGCCAAAAGCTGAGCTTGGATGAAGAATTGACAGGCCAGATCAGTTGACCTGCTTTTGCATCATTATACGAGGAAAGATAGATTTATTTGTGGAAATTAATAATTCAGTAGTTTAGCATGAGGTGAATGATCTCCTTTTGAGCTTTCCCAAATTTGAGTGATCTTCCACCTCAGAACCTGCCCTCCTGATAGAAATGAGGAAGTTGGAGAAAACATTGGGCTTCTTTCAGGGCCATCAAGATAGAAGGTCCAGAATTGCTTTCCTCATTTCTCTCTTTTTTCCATCTCTCATTCACTCCTCACAAGGAACATCTCCCCCCCATCCCAAATCTCTTTCAGCAAAGCATTCAGCGGCTTTGGAAGGCCACCATGATGGAAACAGGCCAGAACACTACACTTTTTGTGAAAGGAATGACCAGCTTCATGCTTGGCTGGCCATCTGCTGCAATTCAGAGACCGACTCAAGGACAACAGATTGTGTCCTGTCTTCTGCTCTCCCTTTAATCTTCAACCACCACCTTGGAAGGTTTTGCATCCTCCTCTTTGCACTGTCCAACCAGCTACTGAGCTGCATTCCCTCCTGTGGGGGTACACGCTCCATGGTTTCTGAGTCCAGCTCTACTGGCTTTATCTGACCTCCCATTTTGTTCAACCAGCAAGTCCCAACTGAGCATCAGAAAGAGCTCCAGTGACAGGCCTTGCCAGCTTCCCAAGGAGGCCTTTCTTCATGGGCCATCACCTCCCCCTCCAGCCTGGCTCACGTCTCCTAGCGTCAACTCCATGAGGTCTGACATGCACAGCCACCATTTCTGTAAAGGTTGTGACCTGCTCAGTGGGCTCCAGCAAGGCTGGCCTCCTCAGCAGACACATCTGTGCTCTGGGGCCTCGCTGGCCCCCACTGCGAGAGGGCAGAGGGCAGGAAGACCAGGGCTCCTGTGCGTCCTAAATGCTCAGCGTCTGATTTTTCTGTGGTGCCTGGAAGAGATATTTCTCTCTGTTTCCCTTCTGCAAAAAAGCAGCCATGTTCTAAAACAACAGCATCCCCTTCTGAAACCAGCCATGGATCTGCCAAGCCTGGTGGTTCTCTCCACGGCTACACAGCTGGTCACACGCCCCTTCTCTGCTACCGATTGCTCCTTCCATTGGCCACAGTGCCTCATGTATAATTAACGTGGGATTAGCATTCCTCACCCCCAACACACACATGCGCACCCAGCTGCACCAGGAATTTTGGAGACATCATTTGCCTTGACAGCCGAGTGACTGGGTGAAAGGTTAGCTTAGTACATTGCAAAACATCCTGGCTGCCCTTTGCTGCACAGTCAGTGAATAAGAAGGGCAGCCAGGGTGGGGTGGCGCAAGGGGGCCTTGCCCCACCCTGCGTGGCCCAAGTACTAAGGAGCCATACCTCAAAGACCTGAAATCAGAAAGAGCGATGCAAAGACCTAGGAATCAGTGGTCAGCCAGATCCAGTACCACAGATCTAGAGAGATCCTGCCTCTACGCACAGAAGCTCCAGTTGTCCAAATGCAGACCTTCACAGAAAAGCATCTTAAACAATAATATCTGGTTCTCTCCATATTTTGAGAAAGGAAATTCCAGGGGTTCATTGTGCTTACCTGACTTCTATGTTCCTCTTCTCGACTCATGTCCCACCTATCCTTAGCGGCTTCTAATAAAAAGCAGACTACCTAATGGCTGGCTGGGGAATTCTGGGAGTTGAAGTCCACAGATCTTCAAGCTGCCAAGGTTGAGGAACCTTGCTCTAGCCAATCCAGAAAACCAACACAGAGTAAGAGTTCACCAGGTTACAGACGTAGCGAAGGAAGGGAGGGATGGAGGGAGGGCACCTGCTGCCCTGGGCCTGGCTGCCCAGCAGGAGATACCGGGTCCCTGCCCTGGGTGGCAGGCAGGGCTGGCTTTTCTTCTCCACGAGTGATGCCACCTGCAGCTGCCAGAAGGAATTGTGCCTGGTTTCGCCTGGAGGGTGCAAAGCCACAGCCCGTGCAGGGGGAGGGAGGAATTCAGAGAGGTAATGAACATGATTGTCATCACCATCATCATCATCATCATCGAGTGCAAGATGTCAGGACAGAAAGACTGACCACCAGAGATTCAGATCATGAAAGGACATCAAGAAGAAAGGGGCTTTATCGCTGCTTCTTAGCAGGACCTGGCCAAGTGGGTGGTCGGGTGAGGGGTCCTTTTGCAGGTGGAGGGGCTGGAGGAAGAGGCGGATCACACGCTCCTGGGCACTGATGGCTGAGCCTGCAGATGAAAAGCAAGAGTGCGTTGCGCAAGAGAGAGGGCACCGGTGAGAGACGGGGCTTTGAACCTGGCCCCGCGTGCCGCCTCCTCCCTCAGACTCTCAGCTCCGGCCATCCACAGCCCGAATTAACCCTGACAATTGTGCGCTCCCGAGGGGAGAGGGAGGGGGTGAGGAGCAGAGGAAATTGACCCAGCTGACAAAGAGGACGACCAGCTTGAGGACCCCGACTCACTAATTGCTTCCCCTCCGCCAGCCCCCTCCCCTCCTTACCCGGGTGGGTCCCACTTCCCAGACAGCAGTTTAAGGGTTCCTCTGCAAAGTCCTTCCTTCCCTCTTTGCAGCATCTCCATTGCGCAGAAATACTCAGCCAGGACGAGGCCTCTTTTTCACTCTCTCTTTCAGAAAACCTCCAAGGGGCTGGAGGTTGTACGTCTGCAATACTTCGGGCCCCTTAGAAGACTGTTGCTGGCAGATGAGTTGCCTGGATTTGAAACCCAGCCTCCTCTTTCAATGGCCATCCACCTACGTATCTCCAATATCCATGCATTATCTCTCTGCTTTGACAATGGCCTAGAAGGAAACGGGACGATGAAACTGGCTGATCTACCACTCAGCAAGAAGGAAACATCACTGTCCTTTTTCCTCCCTGGTTTCTCCTAATTGCAGTTCTCCAGAGCCTGTATGCCTCCAGATAATAAATGTATCTGGCAGATGTCACCTGTCACAAATTCTCAAGATCCAGTTGATGAGCTACCTGGATGATGGCATCTTGCTCGCATGGCCTGAATTCAAAATTCTTTCCAAATCCTCTGGCTATTTGTCAGTGAAGTCATTACAGACACAGATAGCCCCCAGGAACCTTTCCTTACATGATGGAAAGGTAGGTCGGTTCCAGCTCCAGTTGTCAAGGTGGCTGGGGGCAATGGGAGCTGTAGTCCAACACTTCCGGAGAGGGCATATAGGGAAGGTAGGCGTATCTATTTGCAGCCTGTATAGATGCCCTAAAAAAAAAAATTCAGCACAGACGTCATAGGCTGCCTTCCTGTTCAACATCACGCTATGGATCTTTCAAAGTTCTTGCATGTCGCTGCAAACAAAGGCCGTTCTTCCATTTTTCCCAGAGGAGGAGGAGATTTTGTTTGTTGAACCCTTCTTGACAATGCTTCAAAAACATTCAGCTCCACTGAAACCCATGTGGCTTAAGCACCCTTCACTTTCTCTCCCCCCCCCCCGACTCGTTGGGGCTGAACAGCTCTGCAGTGTCCACAAAGCACTTGAGCGCAGGAGGGGCTATAGCCACTTGGGGCAGGGGAGGGATCAGCTCAGCCTTGGTTTACATTGCTGGCCTGGGCTGGGCTGTTCCTTCCTCATCTGCTGCTTGAAGAATCAGCTCCAGGGAGCTCTGATCGTCTGCAGAGTGTGGTCAAGAAAGTTAGGATGGTGGCCACAACGGTGCAATCAAAGCAGTGCGCATAAAAAATGGGCAGAGCTTCAGTTGCACCATCATGGCCACCATCCTGACCTTTTTGACCACACTCTGCAGACACCCCTAGATTACCAGATGTTCTTCTGCCCAATGGGCTCAAGTCTGTAGTCCTCGTGGTTCAGGGTTAGAAAAGGGGGCCTTCTTCATTTTTAACATTTTTAGGTCTTGGTACAGACATGGTTTCCCATGGAAACATTTTCTTAGGTGTTAAGGAGTTTTTGAAAGGTAAAGACACCTGTCAGTTGAAAGTGACCCTTCGTGACTCCCCAGACAATACAGAAGTAGTAGCTACTGTCTTCTTCCAAGGGTTTTATTTTTAAGTTCCTCAGACTGGCTTCCTGCTCTAGTGATCTTCCATCCAAGCACTCACCAGATCCAAACCTTTATCATTTTTCTGAGATCAGCTAAAGTTGTGTAGGTGGAATCAGATCAATAAAGTCTCCTTTGAGTTAAATTTAGGTCCTCAGGACCGCATGGATGTACCCACGTTGTGTGTGTAGTGGTGGTGGGGAGGTGGCAGCAATATTGAAAAGTTTTTCCGGGATAATTTTTGATGACCCAGTCTAGCCTCCAGCGCTGCGATTCCCTGATGATTCTCCATCCAAGCACGTCCCACCTTGTCTTGCCTTTTCCAGAACAGCTGAGGATGAGTCAAGGCTGCCCCCTGGGCACAATTGATTTTGCCTGTCTTCTACAAAAGGAATATACAGCTCTTTGGGGTTAAGAAAACAGTTATAGAACATCCTTAAATGAATATATACAACAGTCCAGTTAAAACAGACTCTTCTTCACCTCCCCAGAAGTAGGTCTAACCCAGCCATCCTCAAGTTGATTGACCAAGTGGTCTGAGAAGTCCAGGAGTTGTCTCAAAACTTGGAGAAGACACCAGAGATGGTTGACGCTTCCAGTTGAGTTCCTTTCCTTGCTTCTCAGACAGGCAGGAATGAGACAGATTTTCCTTCCAAAAACGTTGCAAAGAATGAGAGGCCAATCCATGGAGGGGATGGTGACCATTCCATATTGACCATGATGGCAGCCCCCCAGCGTAAAGAAGTATCACCCACGTTTATGCTCTGCAGGAATCCAAAAGTCCCGGAAGCCCCCCAGCCCCACCCCAGGGTTACCCCTTGGCACAATCCCTGCTCGCCCAGACAGTCACAAACTTTTCCGATGGTCCCTATCGTGTCCACTTTTCCACCCC